TCATCAGTGCTGTAACTCCTTCCTTCTTCGTCATTAGTGACACGGAACATTTTTCGGTTATCCATGTGGAGGTTCAGGAAGTAGGCTTGCTCTAGGCTGGGTCCGGGGGGTAGACTACGCAGGACGTCAGGGGCACCCTCTCATCCTGTAATAAGAGCAAATATGACTTCTCATAAAAAATTTTCGTGCTGTTCTGGCAGCACCATATATAAAGAATGTGTAGTGTGTATCCTTCGAAATGGCGTGTAATTGACATTACACTGAACTCGAAGCATACAACCCATACATTCCAATAATTTCGTATGATAAAGATAAGAGTTTTCCAGCATACAGCGAATTCCCGAAATGAGGTGAAGTGTAAGACTGCAGCTCAAAAATGGCACTTACGAAAGCCTGAACTCACTTAAGAATCAAATTCCTTCTAGGGTAGTGTGCCAATGTGAAAAACAATTCTTAAAGTACAACGTTTAGAACATGTAGCATTACTCAAAACGCCCAAGAAACTTACCTCTTCATGTACAAACAGTGAAGACATCTCTGCTTTCTCTTTTACATGAGAACAAATGATCTTGGGCGTGGCACTAGCGAAGAGGTCTGCAAAAAAAAAAGTAAAAGATTTACTTACTTAAATCACGCCTCTAGCAATCTGAGGAATTGTTACAAGTCACCAATCAGTGCAATTCTGACTGCCTCTATAAGGGCATCAAAAATGAACAATTTTCTCGTTCTTTCTACTCTCACAAGACGCTCCGTCAATGGAATCTAATCCAAATTTGACGCTGTGCTTCCTATTTGCCTGCTTTCTAGACGTAGGGCTGCGAACATGTGTTTTGTGCACCTAATCTAGCACAGAAATTCGTCATCTATAATTCAATCATCTTAATTCATTGTTTTTGATAAAAGATGTGATAGCTCGTCCAGTTTTTAAAGAGTTGCGGGCCTGCAATAGGCACTGCCTTGCACGTATGAAAGTACTTCTTTAAAAAAAAAATTCAAAGCTTGCTTTCAGAAAAAGCGTCTGGCATATTTCGACAACCAAGCCCATCCTCTGATGGCAATCAGGGGCACGCTATTAGCGATTATTGACTACGAGATTTACAAACGTAACCCGTGCCTAAATACTCAGTTAAACACAATCACGCGAGTAAGAGCGCTCGAACGACACCAACGCGCGCGGACGCCGACTACGTTGCAGCAGCCTTGACTTATGCTAGAGAAACCGCACATAGCTCCAACAGTCACGTATACTTTCTCGATTCTGTTATAACGCCGAACATTATCGCAGATGAAAGCGAAGCACGAAAACAGCAAACAGAAACGAGGGAAAACAACGCACGGCGATGGCCACAACAACGCGCCTTTGGAAGTCTGCTAGATCTTTCCCTGTTGCTGGTGGCACTTGTCCTAAATAGCTTAAAAGACCGAGGCACACGTGCTGGGAGCATCGCGGCATATCAGCACCTCCAACTATACCGTCTTTAAGCAAAAAAAAAGCCATTTCGCACAGTGCGCCTTTGTACATAATTTTTGCTTTTTCTTTCTTTTTTTTGCGCTTACACCTACAGAAGCACGTTGCACATATGAGTATTAATAGAAATGTTATTACGATGTAGCCCAAAGCACATCTTAAAACAATATCAATCACTTTGTGCAGTGTAGAGACAATGTGCGATCAGCAACTAATCCCGCCCTTGTTAAGTGATCACATCACTCACTGTATGAGTGATGCAGGCACTTACATAACATCGCGCATAGCAGTGTGAACTCGTTAAGTCCCACGTTTAATCGGGCATCTGCAACAGGCCCGCGAACGCATGCTGTTGTAAATGGCTGGCAGCCTACTTCGGCAGAGCTGTTGCAGGCGCCCAGCTAGCGCTGTATGATTACTATTTACGAAAACAGTACACTCACCGTTAACAGGCCCACGTTGTCCGTGTCCGCCACTCCATGGATATTCCTTAATCCGAGCGTCACTTCGAACACGGTACTTCGAACACGGTGTCATGCGTGACCACCGTTGAATATGCGCCTGTTCGCTAGAACATACACAGCGACCAAGACCCCCGATCAACGCAACGCATTTGAAAGACTGATGAGACAGAGAGGGCAACACTGAGAGAGAGAAGGAGGAGGCACTGGCGGCGGCGTGGCGGCGCCGCAGCTGTCGACGCAGGTGTCCGGTGACGCAACTCTTCGCTTATCTACGCCGCCGTTGTGGGCGACACGCTGGCCGGGTTGAGCGGGGGGGGGGGGGGGGGAGGAGCGGCAAACCCGCTAAGACGGCGCCGAAAGGCAAACGCTATGGCGCATACGGCGGACGGCCGTTCAACGCGGAATGACTCCTTGTAAACGGCCACTCTCCTTCCAGCCAGTCGCACAGCGACGCAGGTTATTTACCAGCCTCGGGTTCTTTGAGTATTTTGACGGAATGCGATTGCAGTGGGCGAAAAATAGTGAAGCAAAACTTGCGCAAAACAAAGCGCACCATGGAATGGCCAGAAACAATAATTATTTCGTCCTCGGTGGCATTAGCGGGAGAGCATCGCTACACCTTTTTCCAGAGAAATTTCTTTTTACATTGTCTGTGTCAGGCGATTCCGCGTATGGTGCCGCAAACACTGAATGCGTAGTCGAAGCTGGAACAAATTAATCCACAGTAGCGGATGCTTAGAAGGCTTGTCATGCACCACGAAACGTACCGAGGTTGTTATAACAAACTTTTTGCTGACCACATGATCAGCACATAATTCCATATGGTTGCCCAATGAGCTAGCTAAGCACCTGTAGCAAAGGCAGTGCACGTTCTTGTTAAACGTTGTTAATATAAACGATGGTTGTGCATAAGTGCAGTGACAGCTTTCCGTGTGAATTGGTCATAACCCACGTTTTCGAGCGTAGAAGCGCCTCAACGGAGCTAATCAGTTACCACAGCAAGTTCGTAAGCAATGATGAGGTACGAAAATGTGCAGCTGTTTTCCATGTACTGAATAGTTAGTGTACAGTGCTTTGACCACCGCCATTTCTTAAGCCACCTCCCATATAGACAGACTCCCAGTCTGAACAGGTGTGGGACCTTAAACACTAAGAAGCAGTGCCCCCCCCCCGCACACACACACGAAATTTGAGGGCGCACGGGCTGATGCACACGCATACTTATTCACAGGCGCACACACATACACGTATACACACATACGGCAACACACACACGCGACCGTAAACGCACGCATGCATGGGCATACACATGTGCATAGGCACGCTTAACACAAGCACGGACTCGCACATACACGCGGCACGCACACATGCACGGGTGTACACACAATCGCGCTTACACGCGAACACATGCGCAGGCTCACGCACACACACCCATACTCGGGCGAACATTATGTTCCTGTATATAATCCACAGCAAACATGTAGCTTATAACCAACACTAAGGTGAGCTTTCGTAACGTGGATTGCAGTTAATTGCCATTATAGATGAAACGCGATTCGCTTCTGCTGGCATTCTGCTGTATTCGGAGAGCACCTTCACACATTGTAAGTCAATTAGGCCGTCATTTAACGCAAGGTCCACATACTCATGCAGTAGCTACGCTGCTCGGCCGCCAATCCGAAGGTCGCGGGTTCGATGCCGGCCGTGGCAGTCGAATTCAGATGGAGGCGAAAAAGTAGAAGCCTGTGCACTGCGCGATATCAGCGCCCATTAAAGAACACCAAATGGTCAAAATCTCTAGAGCTTTCCACTACGACGACCCTCATAATCACATCGACGTTTTTGAGACGCAAAATACCAAATATGATAATTATGTGTTCTTCTTATGCTGCATATTCCATCTGATGAATCGTCACCTACACCCTTCTCAGGCACAAAAGCACCCTTAGAGCCTATTTTAGGGTGCTATCGAGGCAAGCACCCAAACAAATGGGTGCTTTTTTTTCAATCGACCATTTATGGGTGTTAAAGGGTGTTGCAAAGGGTGCTTTCTCGTAAAAGCACCCTTTTTACACCCTTTTGGGTGTAAAAATTTTTACTGTGTATTAACTTTCGTAAGATAAGTTAACGGACCTGCGCCTTGAAAAACAGGCGCTTCCGTACGTGATGCTGAATATCAGCTAAACTTTGCCTTGAGCACTGTTTTGAGAAAATATGGAAAGTTGAAAGCTAATTCTAACGAGGTCGAGGGCCTATATATTCGCACAACGCAAGGCAATAAAGAAAAGAAAAACACAAAGGCACCAAGTGCGTAAGAAGCCGAAGCAGTAGAAAAGTCATTACTCGTTACGTATTTTGAGGGTGCAATTCAGTGGCTGCGTGCCATTGGTTGTCTCAGGTCACGGCCGGGAGCAGCGACCCGAACGTCGGTCGCGTCGCCGGCGAGCGCTCAGTGTCTTCGTACGAGGCACACACGGAAGTCTGTGGTACTCGCAGCGCGGTTGTCAGACAGGCGGCGATATTTGATTAGTCAGGCGCGTCCCGATTGGAAAAGGCAATGGCCCGAGAGGCAAGTTCGCGCCGAAGGCCATCCGCGGCAGAAGTCGAGCAAACACAGGCGCCGCGGGGACACTTACGGTCGACGAAGAATTACACTCGTCCTCCTCTCTCGGAACGTCTGTGTGTAAACGGTGTGGTTGACTGTGACCTTGCCAGCTGCAAGATGTGGGACACGCAGATGACTTACGCAGAGCCCGGAATGAAGGAGCGCAAGAGCTGCGCGACGAAGCCTGCGATTCGCTGTGGGTGGTGGATGATTGATGGCTTGTTGACGATGTCTCAAGCCAGGGCGATCCTGACACGAATCTCGTCTATCCTGGACGAGTTCTTGCTGTTGCTGTCATTCCTGTGTGACACAACGACACGCGTAACATGGGGGTCGTGTTATCACGCAACAGTTCTATTAGTCATGCATAGTGCAACTGGCCTCTCGTATACGTGTTCTTCAACCAAAGATCATGCGCAATGGCTCAGCGTGCCAAGAATCCAACAGTGAAGGCACAATGCGTACGTGGTCACAGGCGTTTACAATCTTTATTCGTGACACGAATCACACAAGAAACCTGTCAAAACAAGCGCTCTCATGTTCCCTTAGTGATTGGAACTGGTCGAAGGACCAAACTTAGTTCACACAGCTTTTTTGTTACATTGACTAGTTAGCTCTCTGTCGCAATTAAACCAGGATTAACAATTTCATCCATCGATTTCCGCTATTTCTATTTTTATTAAGTGAACTTGTGTGAACTGTGTGGTTTAGTGTCCGTTCCCAATGCACTGTGCTTGACCTTCAAAAAATTAGTGTGCACACGTTGTACTTGCTGATTAAAGCAATTCTTTCTAGAAGATCATGAAGGTCATCTGGTCAATTCATTCTTTGCGAAATAGCTTTATCATTTTGCAGCTACCCATGAGAGTATAAAATTTCTATTTCTATAAATAAAGAAATGGCGTCAATACAATGTTAGGTTCACGGCGTTATACTCTAAAATGCAAACTTAACGTTGGTAAGAATGCAATATCTATACGAAAGACAATGCCTCTGTTATAACGGTTGGAAATGGTTGCTCAAGTATAAAACTTCGCAATAGCTGCAGGTTATAATATATTATGTCACAAGTACACAAATAATGAGACCTCACATCAACTAACAGCAGTGAATAACACAATGATCACGGCACAATTGTGGGCGCAGGTATGACCAACTAAAAATTCAAGGTACGTACCAACAAGGTAAGGAACCCGATTCACAAAGCCCTTTGTCCGTAAAACCACTTTGTAAGAAAAATTTCATGCAAAAATATACAATGAAAAAAATGGTCCTTACGAATGAAGGGCTTTGTAAATTCGAACTCTAAACCTTGTCATTGATGAAGCTCATGTTCCAGTCTGCAGTTCAGCTCACATTTTACAACTAGACTCGAAGCCCATGACGGTGCTGTTCGCCGAAGCCGCCGTCCGTGAGGCCCCGTCATTTGCACTCACGACTCAAAGCATCACGTGCGTCAGTAGAATCAATCCCTTTTGTCTCCTTGCACTGTGCAGAAGTCCAAGTTCCGGTTTGAAGCATACGCGTTGATGTAAAAGTTGATGAAGAGCACCAGTCCCAGGGTTCCCTGGGCCGACGCGAGCACGGTAAGTATCTTCGGATAGCCACAGTCGTAGAAGATCGGTATCGACACGTGTAGGGTAAGAAAGACGAACTGGAAGATTTGCAGACGGGTGAGGTACTTCTTCCACCACAGGTACTTCTGCACCTCGGGACCGAGGGCGCTGAGGAAGTAGTACGAGTACATGATGATGTGGATGAACGAGTTGAAGCAGATGCCCATCAGCACCTGGCCGTCGCAGCCGAAGGTGATCCACAGCCAGCCGCTGAACACCACGAGAAAATGATGAAGAACGTGAAGCACGGTGATGTGGGAGAACTTCTTCCTCGCCAGGAAGAAGAAGGTGTCGAAGAAGTCGGCGATGCGCACAAACAGGTACCACCACGTCAGTTCGAGAATGGTCATTGCGTTGTGGTCACGGGAATAGCTGACGCCCTGGCAGAAGACGTTGTACCCTCCTCCAAGGTACGAGTGCCGAGTGTATTGGTAAAAGAAGAACGTGTTGAAGATGACCATTGCCAAGTTGTACACCATGATGAGGGGCTTGAGCTCGAACGGCTTGCGATTCATCATCCATCGCGGGCCGCCGATCTTGACCACGTAGATGTAGCCGAACAGCAGCGGGAACACAAACTTGGCATCAGCCACGAGGGTCCAGCCTTCCGTGCGGGGGTCCCGTAAAGACGCTATGTACCTGTACATATCCGCGACAGGCGTTATGATTCCGGACGCTAGCAGCGACGTCATGCCTGTCGAGAGACTCGCTCGTAATCACGCTTCAAGTTTGAGAACACGTCACGGTCTATTCGACACGCTGTCCCTAAACGCCGGCGCTCGGTGGAGCCAAGATACTGCCGGCTTCGTAAGGCGCGTCGAAGGCACGCGGGAGCCTCGCCGCTTTCGGAGGGCCACAATGCGAGGCTGACCACGGCGTTCGTAACTGGTCCACGTGCGCGCAGCCGTTGGGGGGGTGGGCCACGCAATTTCGGAGGAGAGAGGGCTCGTGCGTGACTTGTACGCGCAAGGTAGGAACGAACGAGGAGGAGGGTGGCGGCGAGGCAAGCGGAGAAGAGATCGGAGAACTCGACAAACGGCATAGAAGCTTGTATGCCTTGCTGACACACTTTTTTTTCTTTATCTCCCTTTCCCCGAGATTCTTTCTTAACGGGCCCGATACTGGCAAGTGCGTTTCGCGTGCGCCAGTGTCTGCTGTGTACGCCGCGGGTAATAAGGTGCTGCGTCTTCCTGCACTTGAACGACCGTGCGCAGACCCCGTGATGCACCGAACAAAAAATAAACAAACACGCAAGTAGGCAGGAAGCGGCGCGCACCTCGAATTCGTGGTCATTAAGACGCTGGGCCCCTTGGGAGCGCTTAGTATCAGCCGAGGCGCTCTTGGGAGCAGCAGCAGACGAGAGGGGGAAAGAGACCGATTGTGTACATCGTAACTGCGCTATCATTATTATTCGGTACGTGCCGTGTACCACCGCTAAACGTTGCACTATTCTAGACACTACAAAAGCTAGTAATGCAGAGATGATCACGCTGTTAGCTGAGAACTAAACAGATTACGCAAGCATCAAATGCTTTTAGGCGGTCCTGCTTGCCCCGCCGTGGTCTAGTAGCGAAGGTACGCGGCTACTGACCCGCAGGTTGCGGGAGTGAAACCCGGCTGCAGCGGCTGCATTTTTGATAGAGGCTAAAATTTTGTAGGCCTGTGTACTCAGATTTGAGCACACGTTTAAGAATGCCAGATGGTCAAAATTTCTGGAGCCCTCCACTATACGGCGTCGATCATAATCCAATTATGATTTTCAGGCGTTAAACCTCACATATCAATCAAGGCAGTCCTGCTTGTCGGCGTGAGTGAAGTTTAAGCGAAAAAAAGTAACAGGTGCCATTCTCTTCTCAGTTGCAAAGGTGCTCACAGCTGATTAGTTTCAATGACAGTCGTTTTTGCGACACAAAATTCTATCACGATGCATCGAGGTGATATATCCCACTCTCTTATCGTGTTATCGGGCAGCTCATAAACCTTATATATGTATATAGCGTCGTCAAGTAAGCCTGCGTGCGGCGAGTGAAGCCAATTTGCGTTATCAGTGTAGTGATGATAAAAAATGATAACGCAACAAAGGAAGTCCCGGCTTGAGTCTAGTAGCGGTTTTTACTTATGTTTCCCGAAGGTCATTTAGCTCATAACGAGCGTACCTTAGCGTGTGAAGCCTCGTTAAAATATGAACATGATAATTCAGAGGACAGTGCTCTTAAGTAGACGGGTCTCGGTTTATGGCAGAGGGGTTACGTAAAGCGGCGCGAAGAATCGTTCAACTGCCTACAGCATTGCGAGTTGACAGCTCTGACTACACAGTGAGTGATTCGCATCTTTCTCGACCTCCTCACCCAACATGGTGGTCGCAAAGAATTTAAGAATATCACGTTCTATGCGATACAGGAACGTGTGTGCTTGGAGAAGAGTTCATCGCGCCTCGCTTGTCCTCTAATTTAAGCTTTTTTTTTTTTGCTAGTAGCGAAGCAGTAACATGTAGCGATATTTGACCAAATACTATGATACGGCAACGCAACTAAAGAAGGAACAGAAATGCGCACAATTTCAAATAAGCCGAAAATTCAGGTCATGCTGCTCGCGTTTGTCGTACGTTGAAGCGCATTGGAACGCCTGCAGAGTTGTCAGGACAATATTGGAAGCTTGTCACACTAAATGAAACTACCACCTGCAAAATCTCGAAGTATTATCAGGGACGTTCTCGGCAACGTGCTTCGCCGCATTTTTTTTTCCCATGGAATTCGGTCAAGCAATTTCTCCAGCTCGCTTAAAATACGAACTGTAATTTCTGCGACATTTGTGTCTGTAAATAAAGTTAGGCTGTGAACGGAGCGCACACTTTCAGTCAATCAATAATGGAATCGATTGATCATTTGCTTCAAGTTTGCTAGGGTAGCTGTTTGTGCTCATTGTTTTGGCATGATACGGGTGGAACGAGCATAACACGACGAATGGGAAAAAAACCTGAAACATACGAGCGCTGACTTGGCACAGTACTTGATCATAACTGTGTAATTTCAAAACAAATAATGAGATATGCAACTCAGAATCAGCGACACATTCTGTGTGCGCCGTTGAAGTAGAACGTACGCTGTTTTAATCACGTATGATCCAATTTACAATGACTGTTCAGTTGTGAGCAGATGTAGAGATCAGTTAACTCACGAGATCATTGAAGCGCAGTTAATTGATAGATTAGGTGATGCGTGTGTATCAATAGTATCAATAGATCTTTTTAGAAAAGAGCTATGTTTCTTGTGTTATGGTAAGGATTCTCTGCAGACAACGCACGCGTGATGAGTCGCGGGCATTTTACTATATATGTGGTTGCTTGTTTCAAAGTAAGATACTATTGTAAGTCAGCGCTTGCGTTTGTTAAGCCTCTTCTCTGCCTTCATCTTATACGTTTTAATCTTGTATCGATCTCACGGTACGGCGGCTGAATTTCGATGACTGGGAACAATAAACAAACAAGCAACGACAATAGTATTATTGAAAATAATCATTTATTTAACGTTTCCTGGAACAATCATGAGGCCTTGGTGCAGGCGCAAGCTAAAATGAAACAAGAAAACCATACAGATAAACAATACAGTACAGACACTCTTCAGAAAAAATTAAATGGGGAGTGAAAATCACAGAACAAATTATTCAGTGCAAAATGGGAAGAATAAAAAGGCAAGACGACAATCATAGAAAGGAAGTGAGAAATAAAGGGGAATATACACAGCTACGTAGAAACTTTCGTGAAAGGCGGAAAGGGAAGAATATGTACATTGTAAAGTATACACGGGGGCGTCCATAAATGTGGGAAGAAATAACGAAACTAAACAAATTACGTCGATTTATTCATACTTCTTTACGTTAAAGTGTTACCGGGTACCAGTCGCGTTTATCGTCTCACCGGGAAGCATGTTTTTGAACGTTTTAGATTCCCATACGAGCGTAGCCGTTTACGTAAGTACAAACGTATACCTTTACGTTTTTACAAACCATAAATGATGGTGCTAACTGCATTTAAGCTATATTTAACTTCGATAGAATTGAACCTCCACTGCGGCTAAATCACGAGACGTTTTTGTTATTGTGTACAATATCGTCGCATGCGCAACAGGGTGAAGAAATATAAAATTTCTGCAACGATGCTGTCGAGGCCCTGCGACACTCCGTGCAACCACAGTTATGAACATGTTAGCCTACACTTACTGTTTTTGAGAAAATAATAAAAAAGGTAACCGATTCCTATTACCGCCGCTGCGCTGTTTTTACACCAGTCGTACAATGCGCGACGTTTCTGCAAAAACAATGCTGTGATTGCCTAGTTCATTTTGACCTCACTAGAAGGCGCCACCTATCCAGCCTCTCAGGAGCTCACACGTTTACGGTTTCGACGTTCAAGCTTTGGTAACCACTCTGAAACAATTTAATTGCTATTAGCGCTTCCACTTCAGCTTATTTTGACTCGACGGCTGGAGTCTCTGCAATGCGGATATTGCGAGTTCCTACGTACGAATGTGGATTTGCGAGATAGCATGACCAGGATTTGGGGACATAGAGTCACTTTATATGCTACTTCTAGGTAGCAGAGTAGCATATTTGTTTTCCAACACCGCTAGCAACTATACACTGCGGAAAAGCTGGTGCATCGGCCACACGACCGAAAGCAGTTGCCGTCCACCTGGAATCTATCAAGTGATCGTCGTGAGTTCGTTAACTACGTACTGATGCTTTTATTTGCTTTAGATTCATGTCATTAAGCTTCGACAGCAAAGTATTAGTGCGGATTCAGCACCATTTTTGAAAAAACGCCCGGCCTGCGCGGAAGGCTCAGCACAGTCACAGCGATAACTAGAAGAGTGGCTTTTCAGAGCCTTTTCTAAACACTCATTGGGTAAATGCTGCAAGCACACTTGCTTAGTACCCACTAAGGCATTTATAATAAAATGTTTTGGCCAGTTGGCCGGCATTCACAATGATATATTTTTCGTCATTCTTCTGAGAAGCGTGGTATTCGCTAAACATGTTGCGAGGAATTTTGTGCGAATTGTTCATGCATGTGGCTGACGACGATGATGAATTATGCCTGAAGTGGGTATGCGCCATAGGTAATAGGTGAATAAGAACAAGTTTTTATAATGGGTTGGAGCATTGGACGACCCATTTGTTGCGCTATTCGCATTGTGCGACGTCTGGCTGTTTTTCCGCTGTTTTAAACCGCTTATTAACGCGATTACATTAACGCGATTGCTTTCCAGACATCAAGCCTGCCTTAGGCAAGAATCGGCTACAGACAGTGATTACTAAATGTGTAGGTGTCCACCAAACATGTTTCGTGGTCGCTCTATACAGACAAACATTCATATTGCACGTTCAGTTCTTGAGTGCATAGATGGTAGCATGGACCAAGTAGCCCTCCTTCAAATAGACCTTGCAAAAGCATTTGATAAGGTACAGCATGCTTTTTTTGTTCCAGCTCCTAAGACACCTGCAGTTGGGTGATGTACTATACAATGGTATCTCACTCTGTTATAAGAAGTGCACAACTAGGCTAATTGTAAATCGCACACTTTCCAATATAATAGAGTTAAATTCATCTGTACGTCAGGAATGTCCGCTGTCACCTTTGCTTTTTGCAATTTATCTGGAACCATTATGTTTAAGCGGGCTTCTAAAGTCCAGC